GGGGGTGGAGTGGGTGGGAGGGGGTGCAGCAGAGGGAGGAATTGGTCCTGAAATTCTTGTCCTTCTCTGAATGCAATATAGATTATGTTTTCAGTGGTAGTCAAAGTCTTGACAAAGTTTTTTGTGTTTGTCCAAGTATTTTCATGTCCTGAAGGGGAAAACCAGATGAAATTTAGCTGATCAAATTTAGCTCAAGGGAATCTGGCAATTCGGCATTTTAGGGTGTATGTTTGCTATTTAATTGACCGCCTGAGGTCTAGTATCTCAGGTTGTAATTTTTGTCTCCTGAAGACAGTAGAGATTCAGTCTTTTCCAGGAAGGATCAAAACAAGTGTAGTAAAGCAAGGACGTCAGGGACAGTATTCAGCTTGCTTATGATAGAGATCTGGTACCGTACATTCACTGGATAAGCTCTGACGTGCTGAGGCAGACACAGTAGGAGCTAAGCAGTAAGAACAAATTTTAGGTGCAAACTTTCCACTTGGCACATTTACCCGTAGTAAATATTCGAATGCACAACCTCTAGAATTAAACAAAATTCCTCTACTGTCTTTTACCAGTTTTGTCCCCCTAGTTATAATAACAATAGTACTAGTTATTATTCACTGATTTAGTTAATGAGACCAAAGAGCTAAAACTTGTTCTGCTGGGTGGAGGGGATGAAGGCAACTGTGCCTGAAGGAATCAGTGGGACTTTTATGTGGGCACAGTGGCCACCCTCTCTGAAAAGGGAGGTCTAGTCCCCGGGATGTTCCTCTTGTCTGCCCTTTAGACACTGGGAAGGTTCATCCACTCTGCCTGGTTTGCCACAGAAGGAGGTATACAACAGTCAATCAGCTTTTATGTAGGACAGTTATAGTAGACATTAAGAAACATAAGATACGGTGAAGAAACTCTTTTTGAGGGAACACCAACACCCAGTGCCATGTAACCCTTGTAGACTGTAGACACAAACTTAGGGATGTGATTTTAGCCCCCAAGATGCTGTAATCCTCTTCGGTATTGTTTCTGTGAGACAACCCGATGACTCAAGTACAAAATGCTGCTTCAAAGGTAGATAGACATGCTGGCATTTTAAGATTGTTGCTTACTGAAATCCTCTGCAGTATGTTTCTCTGTTGATGAGTTTTTGGTACTGGCTTGAGTTCTGAGTTAAGCTCATGCTGCAGCAGTGGGCTAGGGATATTGCTGTTATGTGTGGTGAAGGACATCTAACCGTTTCAGTGTGTATTCACATCTATTTTTACAGAGATGGCTAACAAGCTCTGTGCACCATATTTCTCCTAAATACCTTTTAATATTCTGCTGAGAATAGGTATTAATCCCCCCTTTCATAATTTTGTAATAGTATTTCAAATAATCTGATCTGCATTTCAGAGTGCTCTGTCAATTTAATAAATGGGGCATTCTGAATATATTCAGTTGCTTCCGATATGAGGTATTTTCTGAGATACCTCACAGTTGCTCCTGGTAGTTGTTCTATAGATATCCTTTGGAAAAAAAGTTGCAGTTCCTCAGATTAATTTTGGATTTTATTAATTGGGCATTCATGTTACCCATTCTTCTCATAGTCTCTATGACTTTCATAACAACTGGTGTTTTTCTTCAGGAAAACGTTCACACAATTCACCGGGAATTATGTGAATATCTGTG